TTTTTGCAATTCAGTAAGCTACACAGAGTCAGCTAGCAACAGATTCTTCCTATTTTTGTTTATCTGTGAGTATCTTTATTTCATGTTAATTTTTGATAGTTTTGCTGGTTCTAGAATTCTTTGAGCCCTTTCTTTGCTGACCGCTCTGTCTGATGAGAATCACCTGTTAATCTTACTTGAGTTCTCTTGTGATGAGTTTTCTCTTGCTGTTCTTAGAGGTTTTTTCTCGTGTGTGAAACATTTTGACTATGATGTTTGTGTTTGTGTTTATTCTACCTTAAGTTTGTTGGGCTTTTTGGATGTATAGATTAATCCATACCAATAAATTTGGGAAGTTTTCAGCTATTCAAATATTTTTTCTTTTTCTTCTTTCTTCTGATACTCCTATTACATATATATTGGTGTGCTTAATGGTATCCCACATTCTTCGAAGCTGTATTCATTTTTAAAATTTTTTTCCTTTCTGTTCTTTGGATTGGATAATTTTTTTTTCTTTTGGAGATTTTATTTATTTATTTGAGAGAGAAAGTGAGTGAGTGAGAGCACTAGTCCGGGAAGGACAAGGGAGAAGCAGACTCCCTGCTGAACAGGGATTCCCTATGGGGCTCAGTCCCAGGACCCTGGGGTCATGACCTGAGCCAAAAGCAGATGATTAACCAACTGAGGCACCAGGTGTCCTGGATAATCTCTTTATTTTTAGAATACAAATTCTTCTTTCAACTTAAACCTATTGTTGAGCCCTTTTGGTGAATTTTTCATTTCAGTTTTCAATTGCATAATTTTTTTTTAATAATTTCACATCATGTATTTGATGGGACAGTGTTACCATACTTTCCTGTAGTTCCTTAGTCATGTTTCATTTAGCTCTTTGAATTACTTAAAGCAGTGAGTACCTAATTCTTTCATAGGCAGTTTCTGTTGCCTGCTTTTTTCCCCCAGTGGACTATGGGTCATGCTCTTTTGTTTGTTTGCAAGTCTTGTGATTCCTGTTGGAAATTGAACATTTTAGATAATGTATTGTGTCAGCTCTGGAGCTGATCTCCCTATTTCCCACCCCTGGGCTTATTACTATCTGCTTGTTTACTTGTTGGTGACTGGCCAGGTGTCCGTGAAGTCTGTTCCATCCCCCACTCTACTCTGGGCTGTGGACACCTCTGATACCACTCCTCAGAGGCCATAGCCTTGGGCATGTAGTTATCCTGGGGTGGTGGTGTGTTGGCGGGGCTATTTCTGATCACACTTTCAACAATGTCCCTGGGGTATAATTTGCTTTGTAAACCGATGCAGTTAAATTCATGCTCCTTTGATTGAATGGTGTCTGAGGTCAGTGAAATCTTTTTTAACCCAGGGGGACCCTTCCCACCAGTCTCCCCATTTCATTTCTCTCTGGCATGCTAGGTAGTTAGTTCAGGCTTTAGCTCCAGTGACTCTTAACTGTCCTTCCAGTTAGCTATCCAAAATTATCACTGTTTTTGAGAGTACCTTTTGGCCAGAACTTTTTTGCGCCCTGTTCCATGAAGTCGGCTCCTCAGAGTTTTGGATGTAGTTCTATTGTTCTAAGCCTTGCTTTTCACCCTTGGGGAAACCCGGAGTCAGAGCTCTTGGGCTGTGGGTGGGGACTGTGGTGTACTTGTCTCTGAGTGACATCCTCACTTCAGAGCTGAGTGCCTGGATGGTGGGGCTGGAAAGGAGGGCGGAGTAGTTCTAGTTAATCTTTGGCTGGCTTTTCTTGGTGTGAAATCCCATGAGCTAGGTCCGTTGCTGCCTGGACCCCAGCAGCATCTCATACAGGTAGGGCTTGGATGGATGAAGGGAGCTCCTGCCTCTCAGTGGCACTCCTGCAGAACTTAGCGCAGGCCTGGGCAACAGGGGCAGGGTGAGGAATGTGGAGGGCTGAGTTCTTGGCTGTACCAATCTGGAGCAAAGTTGAAGCCCCACTGAACTGGGAGGTAGAGAAGGCACTAAGAGGTCCTGATTTAAAAGCCACAGATTCTTGCAGTTCTTTGAGCAGATTTCTTGAAAAAGTGTTTTTCATTTGATGCCTTTAGAATTTTCATTTCTTGCCTTTAGAATTAATTCCAGAGACTCTAAATGGTCATTTCAGTAAAAATAATTCTTACCAGTTTCACAGGGAGTGGGGTTGTACCATCGTGCTGGATGTGGCATTCCTCAAGGGTACCAGTTTTCTAATACTTTCATCCTTGGATTTTTAAAAAATCATTTGTTTGGGACTGTATGGTTGGAATTAATGTATTATTACCTTATTAGAACTTGATTGTTTAGTTCCTAGCCCTCGGCTGGAAAAATTCCTGGGGGGTTCTTGGTGTTTTTATGATCTGACCCCGCTATGTAGATTCTCTCTGGGGAGGTGTCTGTCTTCTGCTGCTGCTCCTCAAGGCTCTTTGCTCGCTTGTATATATCTAAGAGGAAAAACTTTTGTTCCAATTATTTGTTTTTCCTAATTAAAATGTAAAATGATATAGGAGAGGTACTCTATGTGAAATATACACTTGATAGGGGAAAAATGTAAAATGTCTTGTTAATATTTTGTTTTGGTTACATGCTATAATGTTTTGGATATGCTAGGTTAAATAAAATATGTTGTTAAAATTTCACCTGTTGGGGGATCCTAGGTGGCTCAGCGGTTTGGCGCCTGCCTTCAGCCCAGGACATGATCCTGGAGTCCCGGGATCGAGTCCCACATCGGGCTCCCTGCATGGAGCCTGCTTCTCCCTCTGCCTGTGTCTCTGCCTCTCTCTCTCTCTCTCTCTCTCTCTCTCATGAATAAATATATAAAATCTTATAAAATTTTTTTTCACCTGTTAAAGTTTGATTCCTTTTACTTTTAATGTGGCTTCTAGAAAATTTATAATTATATGTGACTGGCATTTTATTTCTATTGGTCAGCAATTCTCTATAATCTCTACATCACTTAAATGAGGTCTTTGATTTCTGTGGTTAATTTGGAAAAATGTAGGGATTACAAAAATCATATAAAAGTATCTTAACTTTTAGCAGAGCATTAATTTTTTCCCTTTCATGTAATTGCAGTAAGGATATATACTGAAAAACTTATTTTGTATGGAGAATATCTTATTAAAATTTACGATTTAAAAAAAATTCTAGTGTTAGTGATTTTTCATGCCTGATAAGTGTTCAGTAGCGCTTTGTACTTAAATTTTTTTTTTAACTTTTTTTGAGAGCAATAGCATGTGCATACGACTAGGATGGGAGGGCAAAGGGAGAGAGATTCTTAAGCAGGCTCTTATGCCCAGCATGGAGCCTGATGTAGGGCTTGATCTCACAACCCTGAAATCATGACCTGAGCTGAAACCAAAAGTCAGAAACTGAACCGACTAAGCCACTCTGGTGCCCCAGCATTTTTAATAGTTACATGTGGAATTTCTGTATTTAATCAATTTATTTATTTGGGTACTGTGTACTTGATAGGGGTACATGATGAAGTAGGGCCTTCTAAGTCCCTCCCCTTCTTTAGGGGGTCTGGGATGGAGACTGCGCAGAGGGCAGGAAATTCTCAGTGTGTTGGAGGATAAGTCAGGCAAGGACTCTCCAGCAGCTGAGGTCCTCTCTCTTTTTCTTGTGCCCCTGCTGGAGGTGGTGGTCAAGGGGGCTCTTACTCCATGAAGGCTATATAGACCATAAGGTCCACCACTCAGGTGCTGTGGTCAAATTCATTGTCGTACCAGGAAAGGAGCTTGACAAAGTGATATTGAGAGCAGTGCCAGCCCCGGCATTGTAGGCCCACTGACATGTTGGGGGATGGGGACACAGAAGGCCAGGCCAGTGAGCTTCCCACTCAGCTTAGGGATGACCTTGGCTACAGCTTGGTGGTGCCAGAAGAAGCAGGGATGATGTTCTGGGCAGTCCCTCGGCCATCACACCACATCTTCCTGGAGGGGCTGTCCACAGTCTTCTGGGTGGCAGTGTTGGCATGGACCAATGGCCATGAGTCTCTCCACAATGCCAAAGTTGTCATGGATAACCTTGGCTAGAGTGGCCAAGCAGTTGGTGGTGCAGGAGGCATCGCTGACAGTCTTGAGGGAGTTGTCATACTTCTCATGAATCGTGCCCATCGCAAACATGGTGGTTTCAGTAAAAGAGGTAGAGACGGTGACCCTTTCAGTTCCACCCTTCAAGTGAGTCCCAGCCTTCTTCATGATGGTGAAGACCCCTTCAAGTGAGTCCCAGCCTTCTTCATGATGGTGAAGGATTCCACAGTGTACTCAGTACCAGCATTACCCCATTTGATGTTGGGGGATCTCGCTCCTAGAAGATGGAGATGGACTTTCCATTGATGACAAGTTTCCCATTCTCAGCCTTGATTCTACCATTGAATTTGCCATAGGTGGAATCATATTGGAACACCCCACACCATTGGGTCTCGGGTGCAGCTGACACTACACAAGAGGTGGCCATCTATCAAATAGGAAGGAGCAGAGAGCCAGAACTTTTACCTCTAAAATCTTATGTTAGGAATCCTTAAACGAGTTGTTTCAGTACAGATTTTCCTAATTTGAAAATGTATTTAGTACGTCTAACCTGCTGAACATTGTAGCTTAGCCTGGCCTACCGTAAGGCAAATCGTGTAACCCAAAGCCTATTTTCTAAGAGAGTGTTGACTGTGTTATGTAATATATTGAATGCTGTACTGAAAGTGACAAACAGAATGGTTGTGTGGGTACAGATGGTTGTTAGTGTATTGGTTGTTTACCCTTATGATCCCTTGGTTACTTGGTGCTGTGGCTGCTGCTGCTCACTGCCCAGCATCCCAAGAAAGTATCATACTAGTATTGCTAGCTTGGGAAAAAATCCAAATTCAAAATTTGAAGCATGGTTTTTACTGAATGCATATTGCTTTTTCAGCATTGTAAAGTTGAAAATTCTAAGTTAAACCATTGTAAGTCAGGGACCGTCAGTATTTAAGTATCTATGTCTATTTTAATTTAGTAAAACTGATTATCATGGCCTCTCTTTCACAGATGATGACTTTGACCAGTTTGATAAGCCTGGTGCAGAGCGATCTTGGAGAAGAAGAGCTGCAGATGAGGACTGGGACAGGTACGTAACAACTGGTTACTTGTAGTGCATGCTGATTTATCTCATTCTGCCACTTGGCTCTTCAGGGATCCCCCCCCCTTTTTTTTAAGATTTTGTTTTTAAGTAATCTCTGCACCCAGTGTGGGTCTCCAAATCACAACCCCAAGATCAAGTGTTACATGCTCTACCAACTGAGCCAGCCAGGCATCCCACCCTGCAGAGATTTTTACAAGAACAGTATGTTGGCCAGCAGATGCTCTTTCCCATATGGGTCTGTCGCTGCTGGGCTGAAGTGAGGGCAAGGGCAGGCCTTCCAGGTCAAAGGCTTTCTGGCGGGCTCCCATTCCAGGCCTGTATTGTCTGTAGGGCACTGGTTATCCTGTATCCCTTTGTTTTTACACAGTGATGATAATTATTTGGTGGACCCCAGAGCTATTATTGCCAGAGTTCTTTTGTTCTATAGCTTACTCAGTATTTGGCTAGACTTTAAAATTTTTGCCAATTTAATATGTGTATGATAGTACTTGACTGTAATTTAAATTTGTATTTCTCTGAATACTAGCAAAGATGAAAATATCTTCAGGGATACACACACATGTGCACTGAAAGTTAAAAACGTTCAGAGTAGTGATGAATGTCAATTCTGCATAGTGATTGAAATCACTGGTGAATGGTTCTAGTAGAAGTTAGAGGGACACATACTGGGAGAAGTACAGGGGGGCATATCTGGGCAGTGGGGGATGTAAGATAAGGATCATTCTTTACATGTTTTTGTTTTTGTTCTTAAAGATTTATTGATTTTAGAGAGAGAGAGATCTGGGCGGAAGGGCAGAGGGAGAGAGAGAATCTTAAGCAGGCTCTAGGCCCCTGCTCAGCACTGCTTGACATGGGGCTTGATCTCACAGCCCTGGATCACGATCTGAGCCAAAACCAAGAGTCAGATGCTTAACCAACTGAGCCACTCAGGTGCCCCCTATGCATTTCTTGGCCTCTTAAATGCTGTGTTGAAAATGTAAAAAATAACTTTGTAGTTAAAGTCACAAAGTTTAATAATAAAGTAAAAATAGGCCTGAATATTAAAAATGACAATGGTCTTCTATAGTAGAAAGAAAACCTGATGGCCATTTGAAAACTGTGATGCTCCAGGAGTTTTACAAAATAATCTACATTAAAAATTATATACATTAAAAACTTAACAGCCTACATAAAGGTGTTAGTGGCTCCTAGGCAGTCTATAAAAAATTACTTAGAGCTTACAACAGAATCTATAAGAGAAATGGCCCTACCTGAAGTAATGACAAGTAGTTTTGTTTCAAAGATTGTGAGGGGGAGCTGAATAAATATCTTAGTAGTTCACTCACCATTTGGATTTTCTCTTCTGTCAGTTGTTTGTTCATATCTGTGTATTTTTCTTATTGTTTGTCTTTTCCTTATTGATTTTAGGAATTCTTTATATTTGCTGCAATTTACTTTTTGTACTTGAATATCTCTTCCCAGTCTGTGACATGTGTTCCCTTAAACAATAGCCTTCAGATGGATTTTTATAAATAATATAATCAAATGTATAACCTTTTCCTGTATGGCTTTTATTTTTTTATTAAAATATGAACAGTGTACTTTGGAATCATTTTAAGAGTTAGAGGAATGTTGCAAGAGTGACACTCTCTCATGGGCCCCCAGACTTGAAATTGCCTCCTGCCACATCCGCTATCCTCTCTGCTCTCTGCACATCTGCTCACTGAGGCTGTCCTGTTTCCCCACTCCCCTGCACAGTGGTCTGCAGGCATCAGGCCATGTGCTTCCCATGTACCTCAGTGTGTACTTTTACTTGTGTGTTTCCCAAGAACAGGGACATTCACTTACATAGCCACCCTATCACTTCAAAATCATGTAGTTATTAACAAACACAGAATTGTGTTTTTTTAATCTATAGTGGTTATTCAAGTTTTGACAGTTCTCCCAAAAATGTGCTTTATAGCCAAAAATGAGTTTCTTTTTTTCTGATTCAAGTTTCAATTCAGGATCATACAGTGCATTTTGTCCCCTCTTTATTCATCTGGAAGAATTATATATCCTTGTCTCTTATGACTGACATTTTTGAAGAGGACAGGCTCTTTATTTTGTAGACTCACTCTCAGCCTGGATTTGCAGAGCTAGATTTAGGTTATATATAGGAATACTAGTTGGCAGTGTGGTGGCCTTCCCAAGGGCATCACTTTCAGAGGTGATGTTGTGATGTTGGTCAAAGTGCTTTCCACTTTTTGTCCTTAAGATATTCTTCCCTGTTCTGTGTCCTGGTATATTTTGCATGTTCCTATGAAAATTGTGAAGTGTTTTTATTTTAATTTTTTTATAGTTAAGATATATAATTAGCCTGAAACTGATTGTTTTTTAAGTTCTTGAGAATTTCAAGACTATGTGAAAATAGAAGAGTACAGTGTACCTAGTGTGTCATCATTCAGCTTCAGCAGTTGTTATAGTCAGTCTTGTTTTATCTATAATCATCAGAGATATAAGTTCATCTGAAAATATTTCAGGTTGTATATCTTTAAAAAATGAAGGATTTACAAAGACAACCACAACAGAGTTCTATTTTGAAAAACTCCCTGAATTGTTAATGTCTTATTACTGATGGTCTCTTGGAAGTATCAGGGTATCACACACATCACAGTGTGGCTGTGTGTCTTTATGCTCTTTTATAGTTTGTGGAGTCCACATTACATCCCTAGATTCCAGGTTTCCAGGTGATTGGTAGACTTTCCAAGTGTTGTTTCATCTATAGGTTTTCCTGCAATTTTTTTTTTTTTTTTTTTTTTTCTCTGCAACTTTTTAAAGAAACAAGGTGGTTTGTCTTATGGAGTTTCTGCTTTTGCTGATTGTATTCCCTGGAGTGTTTTTGGTGTGTTCCTTCATCTCTTGCATTTTCTGTAAATTAATAGGTCTAGAAGTTGATAGGTTTACGTTTGAAAATGGGCAGGATAGGGATCCCTGGGTGGCGCAGTGGTTTGGTGCCTGCCTTTGGCCCAGGGCACGATCCTGGAGACCCGGGATCGAATCCCACATCGGGCTTCCGGTGCATGGAGCCTGCTTCTCCCTCTGCCTGTGTCTCTGCCTCTCTCTCTCTCTGTGACTATCATAAATAAATAAAAAAAATTTAAAAAAAAAAAAGAATGGGCAAGAGGATAGATGATCCAACTCACTTCCGCAAACTACTTGGCTCCTTTGAGGTTCTAAATAAGTGTTTGATTCTTTATTTACCGGTTTTCAAAATATGAGTCGATTCCTTACATCCTCCAAAGGTGGATTTAATTTTGAATCCTTTCCAACTCATAGATTTAAATACTACATTTGTATTTTAATCCATTGCAGTTGTTATTTTTATTAATATTTGGACCGTTCCAATATCTGTTCAGTGGGAATTTCAGTTGTCAAGAAGTTAGTTGGCTTTCTGCTGTCATGGAATTGGGTTTGGTTGTAATGTGAGGCAAAGCTTCGGTTTTTCTCATCCTCCCTGGCCTGAGTGGCAGCTGTTTCATCTTAATTTACGAACACGTGCCTCCTTTCTTCACTCATTTTCAGTGCATGTTTACATATGGAGGTTCTGTATCATGTATCACAGCCTCTTCCATGTACTCTCTCCCATAATAGTGGGAGAAATTTGAAAATTAAGGAGAAGAGTGAGTCAGAAATTATGATCAGCTCTTACTGCCATGTTGCATTAATGGTATATTTGGAAGAACATGTCATTGTTGAACCAGCGCCTGAAGTTTTTAAGTTTTTTTTTTTTTCTTTTAAAGCTTTTATTTATTTATTCATGAGAGACAGAGAAAGAGGCAGAGACACAGGCAGAAGGAGAAGCAGGCTCCATGCAGGAAGCCCAACATGGGACTTGATCCCAGGTCTCCAGGATCCCGCGCTGGACTGAAGGCGGCGCTAAACCCCTGAGCCACCTGGGCTGCCCCATTTTTAAAGTTTTTTTGAGGGATGTGCTCATATTAATCTGTATCCATATGGGTGAAGGACAGCATACTCCAGTTGTAGCTGAAAGTGATGTGATGACAGTGCTCTTTATAGGGGAGGGTTGGTTAAAGAAGCAGTAAAAGTTGGTCAGTGCCCAGGGTGTAGCAGCAGGCCTGAAGGGGAAGAAGTGTCTTAGAGCCCAGTGGGAGTTGCAGTGGTAGCAGCACATGGGACTGAACCGTGCAGGTATAAGGGAGGGGGCAGCCTCTCTCCTGCTTGGGAAATGTGGGGTCATCCCATGGGCCAGGGCCATCCAGGGGCAAAGGCCAGAGAGCTTGCATGAGTCTTCCCAGAGAAACCTGGAAAACGGAGTTGGCAGAGACCCGAAGAGGATGGCCTGGAGAGGGCAGGCACACTGACATAATGGGCTGAGGGGCAGGGTTTGTTGTCAGTTATACTTGTGATTTTGAAAGGCTGTAGCCAAGTGGCTGACTACAAAATATTTGTTTCCTGAAAGTGTCTTTCAGTATACACCTGTGTACTAGTAAAAGCATACTCAACAAGCTGATTGTCTCTAATCTTGGATAAGAAACAGCTGCCAAAGAGGCTGTTCTACTCATGTAGTGATGATTGGTGAGAGCCCGGAGGAGTCTTGCAGTGGATTCCAGGAAGCCTCTTCAGACCGCCCTGTGCTTCTCTCATTTCCTGACCCAGCAGCGGTTGTTGGCCAGGGTGCAGTCTCTTTGAAAGGACTTGATTGGGCTGGTCACTCCCACTAGTTCATTGTTTTTGGTGACAATTGGTATAGTTTTGGTAATGCTTTATATTTTACAAATTCCTTTCTTCTTATGTACATCTTTTGCAAGGCTCCATCTTGATGATGATAGCAAGGAAGTAAATTTGCTTTCTGTGTGGGATTTGTGCATAGTAGTCAGGATTTGGACCCCGGAGCTAAAGCATCTCTGTTCACCTAAGGATTTTGCCACTTCCTAGCTGAATGACCTTGAGACAATTAATTATTTAACAACTCAGGGTCTTTGTTTTCACATTTTAAAAAATGGGGGATGATGTAAATGTCTACATAATGGGATTGTGATATCAGTGAAAAAGCTAATACATGTGAAACAACTTAGAATGGTTCCTGGACATCATATACTGAACGGATACTCACGATGTCTGTTGTGTTCGTATAGACCTAGGCCTTCAGTCTCCCATCCTTTCTTATTTCATGCTGTTTTCTTTGTTGGTCATGGAAGCAGCTATTCTCCATCTCTGTGCCCTCCTCATTTATAAGTTTTAGTTTTCCTTTCTCTTCTTTGTTTTTTTTTTTTTTTTTAAATTTATTTATTTATTTATGATATTCACACACACAGAGATAGAGAGAGAGACAGAGACACAGGCAGAGGGAGAAGCAGGCTCCATGCACCGGGAGCCCGATATGGGACTCGATCCTGGGTCTCCAGGATCGCGCCCTGAGCCAAAGGCAGGCGCCAAACCGCTGCGCCACCCAGGGATCCCTCCTTTCTCTTCTTTGAAAAAATCCTTCTATCTAAGTAAAATAAATCATCAAAGACTGATTTCTTCTTCCGTATATACCCCTTGTTAGCAAAAGGTACAGATGGTTTCTAGATTTTTGCTTGTATATTTACCAGCGCCTTTTTGTATTCTGGTTTTAAGAGTTCTCAGGATCCCATGGGCAGATGGTATTCCCTTTCATTTTCAGTTATTTAGAGTGATGGCATCGCATGGATTTTTGTCTTCAAAGGGGAGAGTGTCTGTTTTGGTCATATAGAATCAATTTTCAAATGGGGTCCTGTCAGTATTGTGACTAGATCTTTTCTTCCTCATCCATAGAGGATGATTGTAACACTGAAGATGCAAACATTGTAAATGAAAGCTGATTAGGTGATTTGTGGAAATGATGGAAGAAATTACATGTTATTCTCTGATAGTTGTCTTATTCATACATACAGGTCTGTGAAAAGATTTACCCCATGGGTAAGCTCTTGTCCTGGGTCCGTCTGTGCTGTGTAACTTTGGGCCAATTATTTAATCTCTTATTCTGGTTTTATCACAAAATGAGGATAAAGGATTTATATAGGGTAACACGATAACCAAAAGGTGTTCAGTACATGAATGATTTGCCGAGTTATTTCTAGTTCTTTAAAGGTGGTACATAGAAACAGGCATTTCTGTTATAACTCTGGTGGGCATTCCCATAAAGCCTGGTATCTGTAAAGTAGCACACTACCAGTAAACGTGGTTTTTGGATAAAGTAGTGCTCAAAACCTGCAGAAACTTGTAACCAGAGTGCTTATAAAAAAGAGTAACAGCAGTAATAAGAATATTGGTGCATTTGCACCTGGAAGCATAGTCTGATTGTTTTCTCCTTCTTGATGTCATCCTTAAGACATCGAGTTCCCCAGAGCTAAGAATATATATTTCAGTGATATCCATCTTCATCAACCAAAAAAGCAAAAAACAAAACCCCAAAAACCATAAATGGGAAATGTCTTTAGCTTTTTGATCTGGTAAGGGTTTTGAATTTAATTGTGACATAATCTGCTGATCACTTCAGAACATAAACATGCTAACAAAAATTTTCAGACTACTAATAGGACTTACATGTTACACAAAGGTCACTCTCTTAGTCACAGTGATTTACTTGTACGCTCTTACCATCATTGTTTTTTTTCTCTTTTCAGTTTTGCAGTTTGACAAGCGTCAAATGGTCTCTCAGTGGTTTTGATTTTGATTTTCCTAGTTAATGATGTTGGACTATTTCATGATAGGTTTTTCTTTAAAAAAAGAAAAAAAAAAAGGATCCCTGGGTGGCTCAGCAGTTGGAGCGTTCTGCCTTTGGCTCAGGTTGCGATCCCAGAGTCCTGGGATTGAGTCCCACATCTGGTTCCCTGCATGGAGCCTGCTTATCCCTCTATGTCTCTGCCTCTCTCTCTGTGTCTCTCATGAATAAATAAATAAAATCTTTTTAAAAAATAGGTTTTTCAAGGCAGGAGAAAGCATAGATGTTACCTATTGTAATTTCTTTTTTTTACTGATTACTTAACAGGTCCGAAGAGATAAAAGATTTCATATTGAGATCAGAAGTTTAGTGAGAGCCACCTCCTTTAGCAGAGCCTCCCATACTTAAAAGACCACATGTTCTCTATATATTTGAAAATACATTCTCATTATTAATACATAAAAGGGAAGCATAGCAAATTAATATGTAAAAGGGAAGCATAGCAAATTAAACGGGAAAGTACCCAAACTCTGAAGTCCTGGGTTGATTTCCCAGTGATCTGCAGACTTTCCAGTGTTGTAGGAATAATGCAATGGCATGTCTTTTTTTCTTTCTCCCCAGCGAACTTGAAGATGACTTACTTGGAGAAGATTTGCTGTCTGGCAAAAAGGTAAGAAATTGAGGTCTTCTGAAACCAGCCTCCAGCTGTTTAATTGCACTGAACATACAGGAATGAATCTCATGAATGGGATGTGGTATTGGAAGGTTGGGTGCAGAACGTTTTGTGGATTGAATGATCTTTTGAATGCATAGAGCACTGACTGTTTAGTTTGTTAGTAAGTTCTCCAGTAACTTACACCTCAAGTGATTGGTCCTTTGATGCAAATATTTTAGTTCTTACTCAGTTCAGCAAGTGTTGAGTTTGTGAAAGCAGCAATATAAAACCACCACTTGCTCATGAGAAAACTAACATTTGGAGGCTAATATTTTGCATTCCCTTTTTGAAAGTCCAGAGCTCAAAGATAGCTGTACTCAAATGTAACACACGTTCAGATACATGAGAATAAAAGTCTAAAACCTAATACAGGTTTCTCTAAATCTTTTTGAGCAAAACTCTGTAGTTAACTTGAAAATGTCTGTATCTATATATCTTGTGTGTATATGTGTTTATGTTACTCTACCAATAACATAAAATATACGTTAAAAATAGAAATACATATCCAAAGATTAAAGTGAAATACTGAATTTTTTATTAACTGTTTAAAAAAACTTGTTCTTACTAAATATTAAGGTAGTTTTTTTATGCTTAGTTTTTAAAGTCTTAGGATTGTGCTGGTTCCTTACTGTCCACAGTAGTTATACATAAGCCTCTTATACTTTAGGTGATAAGGTCATGTCATTTGTCAGATTTATCAGATCTGATTATATCTTCCTTTTAATCTCATAGCTGATGAAGATCTTGTGCTAGGTGAAGTTTCAGTGCTGCCATTTTCTTGTTACTATGTTGCATTATTAGTTTTTCCGCTAAAACATGAGTTTATTGTAGGATTCTTTTGAAGCCACTTTCCTTTCTCTGTCCTGTTTTCTTCCTGCATCACTGGCCCTCAGGTGGCCTGGCTTCAGCCTGCCTGTCTTTCCTCCTTTAAGTGACTTTTGTCACCCTTAACTCTCAGTAAGAATTAGTTACCTGTAAATCCACTTGATCTCATGTAAGTAAATGGGGAAATATCAAAATATTGAAAGTGAAACCCTCAGTCCGTCCTTGTTTGAGGGGCTCATGCTCTGGCCTCAGGGTGCTCTGCACGTGTCCTGTGATTCAGGGTGCCAGGGCTAGTCCTTCCTATGTCACGGTCACGGAGGGAAGTGAGACTGTTTCTCTTTGTGACTCAGTGAAAATGACCTTGCACATCCTTGAAGTACTCTCACTTGGGAGTCCTCTACCCTAATGTAAACATGTTTTTTCCTTTGTAATTATTTAAGATATTTCAGTGAAGTATTTTACTTCAATCAGATGTTAAAATGTTTAGATGTAGTAAGATACTTTTTATGTAAGTTGGATTTCTATCCTTAGGCAAGCCTGGGGCAGGATAGTTTACCCCATGTTTCTTTCTTTTTTTTTTCCCCCTCTTTTAAGATTTTATTTATTTATTTATAGACACACACACACACACACACACACACACAGAGAGAGAGAGAGAGAGAGAGAGAGAGAGAGAGAGAGGCAGAGACACAGGCAGAGGGAGAAGCAGGCTCCATGCAGGGAGCCTGACGTGGGACTCGATCCCGGAACTCCGGGATCACGCCCTGGACTGAAGGCAGCGCTAAACCGCTGAGCCACCTGGGCTGTCCTGCCCCATTTCTATCAGGATGTCCCTCCAGCCCTAGTTAATTCTTTTGGTGTACATTTATTCCCATCTTGTGAGAGCTTTGGTCAGATCTCTTTATCAGTAAAGATGGAAAAGCACAGTTTGGTTTGGATAGTAACACTGACTCTTCTAAGGAAGTAGTCTAACTATTTCTTATTAGACTCATTGATTGCTGTGCTTTAGCCTCCATTCCTGTGGAATAGGAGTGCATGAGGGCGGCTGCACTCTTCTGCTGCTTCGCCCTGCTGCTTCTCTTCTGCTGCCTTCTCTTGGGGGTGGGGCCCTCACCCACCTTGGCTGGTTGGGAAACTTGTTTGATTGGGAACAGTATATGTACTCGTCTCTCCTTTCCAGCGCTGTATGTTGTGGGAATCAAAGGGGTCAAATGTATCAAAAAAGAAAAATATTAAAAAAGTAGATATAAACCCTCATGACTGACATTTTGCCATAATTCTTAAATTCTTTTTTCATATATTTTAGAGTTAACTTACTATATATAAAAACACTTTTTTTTAAATTTAGAGTTCTATTATTGTCATTTTTCCCTTGTCATGCATGAAATGTTTAAGGTATTTTATAATGGCTATGTAATATTTCAGTTTGTGTATATTATAGTATACCTAGCCATTCCTATATTCACTGAGGTTATATCCAGCTCATTGCTATGACTTTTTTACTTTTTTGCTATAACTCTTATTTTTTTATTAAAAAAAATTTTTTTTAAAGAAGGCTCGATGCTGGGCATGGAGCCCGACATAGGACTTGAACTCACGACCCCGAGATCAGGAATTGGACACTTAACCCATGGAGCCACTCAGGCACCCGTGCTATAATTTCGTTAAAAGAACTTTTTTTGGAAAGTGTTAAGCATATATAAAAGAAATGAGCAATGTGACCCTCCCCCTCATCACTGTCACTGCTTCAGCAGCTTTCACTTAGAGGCAGTTTTGCCTTATCTTTGCCCACTCGCTCCCCTTCCTGAATTATTTTGAAGTGAATCTCAGACATTATAATGATGTTTTAATGTACAGATGTTATGCTTTTGAAATTCTTTTCTTGGCAGATTTCCATAAAGGAGAATTTCTGGCTAAGGGCATAAACTTTTAAGACTCTTGTCTCTGTTGCCTACTTGCTTCCCAGCAATGAGTTGAGCAGCAGGTGTGTGAACATGTCTTCACCTTTCCAGTCCCCCAGGCGTGGTATCACTTCTCTTTTAAAATCTTTCTCAGTGAGGTAGACAGAAAATGATTTGTAGTTAGTTTATTTTGTGTTTATTTGATTTCTTTTTTTTAAATTTTTTTTTAATTTTTTTTTTTTTTTTTTAATTTATGATAGTCACTCACAGAGAGAGAGAGAGAGGCAGAGACATAGGCAGAGGGAGAAGCAGGCTCCATGCACCGGGAGCCCGATGTGGGATTCGATCCCGGGTCTCCAGGATCGCGCCCTGGGCCAAAGGCAGGCGCCAAACTGCTGCGCCACCCAGGGATCCCATGTTTATTTGATTTCTAACGGGATTGGATGTTTTGTCGGGTATTTATTAGTGAATTTATTGTTACAGGTACACTTGGCCTGCCCACTGTCTTTTCTCCACTTGAGTCCCCATGAAATATACAGAGATGTAGCTTTGTCTGGAGAGAGGCTCCTAGGCCGTTGGGCCAGAGGGCCACTCAGCCTCTTACTGAGTAGAGTGACTACATCCCCCCGACTGGGCAACTCGGGAACAAGTTCATCGGTGTTCAGAAGGGAGGTTGTTAGGGTGAAATCTTCAATGTAGGTTACAACTGAGAGGTTGCAAACTCAAGATGAGAAGCTGACATGGCCTAGCCAGAGCTTTGAGAGATGGGGGAGCCTGTCAGCGAGCGACCCCCTCATCAGTTGATCTTTCTTACTTTGCCGCAACTGGTGACAGGCACGTGCTCTGTGATACACTAGACCTTCCACCCTCTGGGGAGCCCTGGAGAAGCATTCTTTTTCTTTTATACTGTCTCTCTCCCCAGGAGGGGCATGACTGATCTGGCTGGTAAGGTTGGGAAAAGGGATTTTGCTGGCATTCTGGCCACTTTCTCTCACTCTGAGGATGTGTTTGCCCTACCTCCCTGCAGACCACCCCAACAGAGTCCTAGCTAATAACTCTGCCTTTGCCTCAGAAACAGTTCACTTCCATTCTTGAGGATGTGCTTGAAAATCAGTTTTTGCCTCAAAGATAGAGTCTAGCTCTCCATGTCTGCTTGATTGATGAAGTGGGGATCTTGGTCAGTTGCCTCGTAGGTATATTACTCATCACTTTCAGAATCCATATGGGAAGTTGAATCCTCAGAATCCAGATGTAAGATCTGATTACCATCAGGGCCTACCACAGCATACATTCCTGTTTGTTTGGTGAATTATTTATTGGTTCACTGATTTTTTTACAAGTATGTAAAAGTTTAACTAAAAAAGCAGCCTCTTAATGAAGTTTGGTTTTCATTGAATTGTAAATTTTTTTTTAAAGATTTTATTTATTTATTCATGAGAGACACAGAGAGAGAGAGAGAGAGAGACAGAGACAGGCAGAGGGAGAAGCAGGCTCCATGCAGGGAGCCCGACGTGGGACTCGATCCCAGGTCTCCAGGATTAGGCCCTGGGCCGAAGGCAGGCGCTAAACCACTGAGCCACCCAGGGTTCCCCTGAATTGTTAATTTTTATTTATTTTTCAAAATTTTTAAATTCTATTTGCCAACATATAGCACTTAGAATTGTTAGTTTTTAAAGATTTCCCATAGTTTTATTTATTTATTCTATTTATTGGGCAGCTAAATTTAGGCAGGCCTGGCTCATCTCTTTTAGCAGAGGACAGATTATGTGGGCTACTAAGCAGAACTTTATTTTGGCTCTGTTAAGCAGTCTGTTTCTTTTTCATACAGTTCCATTCTCCCTCCAAGTAAACTACATGGTCTGTGTTGTTATTTTATGTTACTTTATGTAATTTATTTTATTTTTTATTTTTATTTATTTATTTTTGAGTAGGCTCCACACTGAGTCCAGTGTGGGGCTCGAACTTACAACCCTGAGATCAAGACCTGAGCCGTTGGATGCTTAACTGATTGAGCCATCCAGGCGCCCTGTGTTATTTTATTTTTATTTATAATGTCCGCCATTAAGTCCCTTGAGACCCATAAGAACTAATAGGTTTCATATTTTTTGGCTTATATCAAAAGTACTATAAATGAAGAATGTGTAGATAAGTTTGAGAAGCCTATTTTTATAAGCTATAAAATGCCAGGAAAGATTGCTTGTTTGTTTGTTTCCTCTTTAAGAAGAAAGTCAAGTCTTTCTCTTTTTCCTTTTTCTTTCTTTACTTTCTTGCCTAATTGTGTGTTCAAGGGACGTCTTTTAGAGAAGTGGTAATTTATATATACCCTGAAAGTAATTTGAATAGAGGAGTAAAGTGTGAAGGACCCTCCTGTATAAGTATACAATGCTGGTGGTATATTTAACTCAACAAAACCTGGGACTGTAGAAAGTTGAGCAGTTGACAAAATCACTAGGCTTCCTCTTTGTAGCTACTGGTGTGATGAATGCACAGGCCTGTCAAGAGCAGTCATGTCTATTTTCTGTGTCATCTCTATTAATAAAGCTTTCTTTATTTTTTAAAAAGATTTTATCTATTTGGCAGCACAACCAGGGGGAGTGGCAGGGAGAGGGAGAAGCAGACCCCCTGCTGAGCAGGGTACCCCAATGTGGGGCTCCATCTCAGGACCATGACCTGAGCTGAAGGCAAACACTTAACTGACTGAGCCTCCCAGGCGCCCCCTAAAGTTTTATTTTAGTCTCTTACCATTTTAATTTGGCAATGCAGTTATCTAAAATCTGCTTCTCTCTTCCTTTTTTTTTTTTTTAAAGATTTTATATATTTGAGAGACAGAGCATGAGTGGGTTGGGGGGAGGGGCAGAGGAAGAGGTAGAAGCTGGCTGCCTTCTGAGCATGGGTCCTGGCTGGGATCGTGACACAAGCAAAGATACTTAACTGACTTAGCCACCCAGACACCCCTAAAATCTGCTTATTTCTAAAATTCTCCTTTTTTTTTTTTTGTTTTAAAAAGTCTTCAGATTTTGGATACTACTGTTAAATTTAGTCAAATCTTTTTTTCTAGGGGCACCTGGGTGGCTCAGTGGTTGAGCGCCTGCCTTTGGCTCAGGTGCTGATCCCAGGATCCTGGGATCGAGTCCCATATCAGGCTCCCTACGGGGAGCCTGCTTCTCCCTCTCCTATGTCTCTGCCTCACTATCTGTGTCTTTCATGAGTAAATAAATAAAATCTTGAAACAATTTTTTAAGTTTTTATTGTAATTCCCATTAGTTAACATACAGTGTAATGTTAGTTTCAGGTGTACAGTAAAGTGATTCATTACTTCCATTCATCACCCAGGGCTCATCACAAGAAGTGCCCTCCTTCATCCCCATCACCCGTCTCCCCCATCCCCCACCCTCTCCCCTCTGTTAAGCGTCAGTTTGTTCTCTAGAGTGAAGAGTCTGTTTCTTGATTTGTCTCTTTTATTTTTCTTTTTGTTCTGATTTTTAAATTCCACATAGAAAAATCAACTTTAGTCAAATCTTAAGGATACCATTCTTTCTTGTGTTTGATAGGGAAAAAAATATTTGTAGATACTGCTAAAGAACTCTTCTTTTTTTTGTTAAATTTAGAATAAATGTGATCATTAAGCTTGTTTCTTTTTTTTTAATTTTTATTTATTTATGAGAGAGAGAGAGAGAGAGAGAGAGAGAGAGAGAGAGAGAGAGAGACATAGGCAGAGGGAGAAGCAGGCTCCATGCACTGGGAGCCCAACGTGGGATTCGATCCTGGGTCTCCAGGATCGTGCCCTGAGCCAAAGGCAGGCGCCAAACCACTGCGCCACCCAGGGATCCCAAGCTTGTTGCTTCTATACTTGATTTTGCATCTGAATATTTGAGGTAGCAATTATGTCATGTGGAATTTCTCAGTTGTCAACTGGTCATATCAAAGTGAGATAACTTACTGAATGGCATATGCTTTAATAACAAGGTTAGAAATAATGCAGTCAACGTAATTTTGCACATTTGTAACGAATCTTTTTGTGGAAGTGGCATGCATTAATTAAATTTCTTATTTTAATTAGAATCAGTCGGATTTGTCAGATGAAGAGCTGAATGATGATCTTTTACAGAGTGATAATGAGGATGAAGAAAATTTCAGGTATTCATTATTAGCTCATTAAAAATTTTCTTTAAATTGTTAGTAACTGTAATTTATAAATATAATGGAATATAATTGTTAATGTGATATACTTTAATATGATTTTATTTTAAACAGGATATTAATATAACACATGAGAGCCATGTATATTTTTCTATAAATAGGTATTGGTCTTGCATTTGATGACCTCTATAAGTTCTATTGAGTGCAGGTTATGAAAACTCAGTAAAGGTATGTACTGCTCTTTTAAAGAATTCCTTTATTAGATGGGGGCAATGGACTTAGGCTCTTAATACTGCTGGCTGCAGTTTGATGTTGCTGCTTTTGTTTTTATTTGAGGCCATTTTTATTTATATGTAATCTGTTGACTGAATTGCCATTTTGGAAATTCCTTTGGACTGTATTTTTATTTTTTTAAAGATTTTATTTGAGAGAGAGAGTGAACATGAGTGGGGGTGGGGTGGGGTAGGGGGGTGGAGAGGCAGAGTGAGTAGCAGACTCCTTGCTGAGTAGGGAGCCTGATGCAGGACCAGAGATCAAGACCTAAGCCGAAGGCAGACGCTTATCTAGCTGAGTTACCCAAGGGCCCCTCGACTGTACTTTAGACTCTAGTTGACAATCTGAATGTAATTGTTTTAGTGAATATAGTTACTTTATTCTTTGTCAGCTGTTTTAACAAAATATTATGAACTAGGTAGTTCATAAACAACAGAAATTTATTTCTAACAGTTCTAGGGGCTAGAAAGTCCAAGGTTAAGGAACCAGCATGCTGACTTTCTGCTTTCTAGTTCATAGATGGAGCCTTCTTGATACGTCTTCATAGAGTCGAAGGGTGAGGGAGCTCTCTGAGGTCTTTGTAAAGGCATTAATCCCATCATGGGGTCCACCCTCATGACCTAATCATATCCCAAAGGCCACACCTCTAGGCACCATCATACTTGGTGTCAGGATTCAACAGATGAGTTTTGGGGGGACACAAATATCCAGTCCACAGCAGTCATTAGTGCCTGCTTGTTGTTGATATAATAATAAGCTCCATTATAAGGAGGGGAAGAAGTATTTAGTATACTCTTGTAGGTGGAGTAATTTTTTCAGTTTTATGAAGGAAACCTTTGTGGTGAAAATTTAAAGAGACAATTCTTGGTTATAAATGAAGTTAATATATGCTGTTTATTATTGAACTACAGATTTATAACAGGTTTTCTAACTTAAGGTAATCTTTATGGATAGAAATAGTTTTAAGTTAGTTGATTCTACCAGTTATTTGAGTTTCCAGATTCTATTGTGTGACATCATTATTAAATTTTGGTCTTTTGAGTTATTTCAGTTAGCCCTCAAAATATGGCAGTTTGGAATTTTTAGTCAGGTAATACCTTTGGGTCTGTGTGGTGTACTCAAGTTTCTTGTTAGGGTTAGATACATAATTAGTACTGTGCACTTAGGATTTTCTGCAAAACCTTGGGCTGTAAGTATTGCTTTCTTGCACTTACTGTTTGGCATGTCACTGTTGTGTGATTGAATGAGTGGAATATGATTTTTTTGTGGTTTTAAAACCGTCTCTGGTATTTTACTCAGAAATTATAAACTAAGTTTTTTGAAAATTGGTGGTTAGTACAAATTTTATTTATTTGAGCATTGAAGTGTATTTTCACACAACTTTTTTAATATTTTGATTTTTAAAAATAGTTTATAATTTGTGTCATAGATGTAAAAAGAATAAATTGTTCTAAAATTCCATCTGTGATTTTTTGTTTATAAAGTAATAGTCCTGTTTTTACTTTGGAATCTTGGAAAACAGATACCATCCTTTTCATTCTGAAAGTTAGAGTGAAATACAGTCTTGCTTGTTTTCAGACTTGGCGTTTTGCCAGACTTGTGTCCCCATCTGGTTGATCTGCTTCTTTTGGGTAAATAACCTGCAGCTGATGATGGTGTGGGTGGGTGCTGCCTACAATAGGGGTGTGTGGTGCAGGCTCAGGATGGCACACTGAGCTCTCGTTTTCAGACACAGGTGGAGGAGTAATGTGTATTTATCAGTCATTAGAGCAACTTTTCACCAGTCATGGTTTACATCTTCGTAGCAGTTATTTAGGTAGAGATTTAATTTTGAACTTTACTCTCTAATTGGGCACCTTTCTTTGTGTTTTTATTCTCTAGTTCTCAGGGTGTCACGATTAGTTTAAATACTACATCTGGCATGGTCACATCATTTGAACTCTCTGACAACACTAATGACCAATCTGGAGAACAGGAATCTGAGTATGAACAAGGAGAGGATGAACTCGTTTATCACAAGTCCGATGGATCTGAATTATATGCTCACGAGTACCCAGAAGAAGGACAGTATGAAGGCCATGATGCTGAGCTGACGGAAGACCACATGGAGTATGTGGAAGAGCCAGAGGAGGAGCAGTTGTACAATGATGAAGTGTTAGACATCGAGATCAATGAGCCTTTAGATGAATTCACAGTGAGTCTTTTTCCTTTGTATGGCCAAAGATAACATGGCTGCCTGGGCATAGGTTTCTAGACTGATTTGAAATCTATTTACCTCCCTCGGGAAGAAGGGAAATTAGACCTTATTATCACTGTCTGCCAGTTTCTTTATCTGAGCTATGACAAAGTTTGTGTTGACAGCTTGTTTGGCTGGAGGTAATGCCCCTTTGTCATTCGGGAAGGCTGCACAGAATTGTGACCTTGAGGATTGCACCTAAGGAAGAAAACAGCTTTGTGTGGTGGAGATACACTGTCAATTGTTAGAAGTACTTAATGCAGAGCTTTTATCCGGGTTTTAGACAAGATCTGATAAAGTCCTTCCAAGGTGAAAAGATTATTGACCTGCTAAAGACATCTTTAAGGTGCTAATATTCTAGAGTGATTGATGTCCTATCCTGTTCATTCATCCTGTTTTGTAACTGAGAACTGTCTAAACATGAATAAAGAGATTGGAGGTTCGTTTTGGAAATGTCACACATAATTTGTTATCTGTAATCATGAAGCAAAGATTGTGCTGATTTCTGTTTCAGAAAGATGATTTTGATAGGTAGCTTTTTAAAAAAGTTGAACAGCCAAGAAAGCAAAAGGTACTAGTGAAAGATTACTCATCTATCTTAATGATTCGTCATTAAAAACACTTGTTTTTTAAAAAAGCACTTAATGAAATTTGTGTGGGGAGGACATGATGTTTCATGTTTTCATAGTACTGCACATCCACTGAGATAGAGCCTCAGCAGGGCTGCGGGGATGGGGTGGAGGCACGCGGAGTTAGGGGTAAGAGCTTTGCGTTTAATCTCTTAATATTCAGAGAAAGCTTGCTTTTGAGAAAAAATTTTGAAATCTGAATTTTTGGTCATTGGTCATACATATATATAAATAGAGTTTGTTTATGTGAACCCTTGGAATACTTAGTTCTAATCCTAATTGTGTTTATTTATCTCAGTAATGTTATTTTTAAGATTTGATTTGTTCTGAATGCTTTCTCTTTAGTAGATACAGTAATGAAAAAATGTTTGTAGTTTTGGTAAATAGAGACATGTAAAAGGCATCATGGCTTGTTCTTTCCATAACGGTAATAGTTTGTTTTGGTAATAAATCCATCATTGGTGTGGACAAGTGCTCTATGGTTTACTGGTGTGTTTGTATACTCTCTGAAAGAGGGATACTATAAATTTAAAATGATCCTTAAATATCTTTTAAGGATCTTTTAAAACAAGATCTTTTAATTAAAAATGTGCTTAGTTATCCTCTGTTTAGAGCATTTTATTATTTCTCCTGTTCATCAGTAAGAGAAGATGATTGGTTAATCATATGTGGGTCCTTTTTTCCCTTGTAAATTCAGCAGTTCAGCACATCTTTACTGATGTCCAGGCTATAATAGGAGATATGAGGCATGGCCCCTGCCTTCTGTGAACTTAGAATTTGGTGGAACAGATAGATCAGTGTGGAAAGTGCTTGCTTTAACAGCACCAGTGTGCCGCATAGGAGGTGTTTTTCACTGTGGCATTCTGGCAGAGGTGGTTGTAAAGTCAGGACTTTCCCCTCTCTTGTGTTCCATTGTCAAACTAGAGGTTACATTTAGGCCCCCGGTTGTATAAAATCCAGCTTAGTTATCTGATGTCCTGTGGTCTTAGGTTCCAGTATCAAAATGAAAACAATGTGGCAGTTTGGTATACTTACAGTACTTTTCTACATCAAAATGATTCGTATTTTTTAGAGTAGGGGAAAAAAACCAGTTTTGCTTAGAATTTCTGAAAGCCTCGTTACCTTTTCACAGGGAGCTGTAAATTTGAAAGGTGAGGCGAAGTAGTTGAGTGTCCCATGAACCGTGTCAGCTCACCTCAGCACATTTAGCTTCATAGCCATGGTCGCTCTTTTCTCTCTACCCTGTTTCTTTCGGATTGTTGGTTTCTTCATAGTTACCACGGTGCTGTAGTGTGCCATTACCTTTTCTTTGGATGGAGGAGAGAGATGGCCTTAAACTGTGGCGCCCTGCTCCAGCTCTGTAGCAGGCTGCCCCTGGTGCACAGTGAGGGGATTGTTCGTGAGTAGATGAATGAGCACATGACTAGATTGTGTGCTTTTGTGTCCCCGTGGCATTTCAGTTTATCAGATGACTTATTTCACCGTGGTTCATGCCCTAGTTAGGGAACCATTAACTTGTCCTCTCAAGGTAGAATCGAACTTGACATGCTGAGCATGAGCACGGTCTGTCTGTTTGGGCTCACTCATGGAGGGAGTTTGTGTATATCTGGGAGTACAGTCATAAAGCCACAGAATTTTAGAATTGGAAGGGATGCTTCTACATATGAAGAAGCTAGGTCCTTCATATGCTTCTACATATGAAGAAGCTAAATAATAATAATTACTATTATTTGTATATTTGTTGAATTATTATTCAACAAAACAGGAGGAAATTGTTGAGTAATTTATACTTTTAAGCACAGTCTTTTTAGGGCCTTTGAAATTACCAAAAATTGAGATTTCATAAAACATTGTTCTGTAAAAACAACTTCAGATTGATAATTTAAATGAAGGGTAGCAGATTTTTGTTTCCTGGGGAGGATCCAGTCATAGACTATTCTCCATTGTATATTAACTGAAGATTTTGATTAGCATCATCTGGCCTTATTTGAAATCTGACAGTTCTGCTGTCAGTGAATCATGGGTAGTGATAGTTTCTCTTTGATGGGATCGTTTCTTCTGGAGAGTGAGATGCAGTGTGTTCAGGTAGCCGTGAGAGAAATTTGTGGGACCTAAGATGGTTTGTTGCCTTGAATACAGCTGGTTTCTTTGGGGGTTGTAGGTTCGGCTCCTTGTGTACCTCACAGCAGCTTGCTCACATTCTGTGCATGCTCACTCTTGGTTGCTTACTTTGTAACCATGCACTCTTCATTTCAGCCAGTGACCAGACATGCTGGCAAGTTCAGCTCCCCTGTGTAGGATCAGGTGTTCTTGTGACTTGATAGTAGTACCTGTAGGAACCCTTCCCTTCTCTGGAAATGGTCTCTAGCCAGCTTGTCTGCTTCCTTCCATATACCCTTCAAGGGATGCCTGCCTGCTGACGTGCCCATTACATTTCATACAAACCTAGGACCACCCCTCTAATTCTAGGGATGGGCCAATGGAGAAGCAGATACTTACATGATTTTTAATAAAGCTCCTGTGTTGAACTGAATGGCTTATACTTTTGCCTTTTCTTGCCATAAAAGTGGTGCGTGTTGGGCATGATTTCCGCCCTTTACTGCTGCTGAGCTGCACTGTGCAAGCACATGCACATCCTTTTGAAGATTCCCTTTCCTTGGTGCTGATTGTAAGAAGAGCTGTTTATCAGGGCGCTTGAGGTCTGAAGCAGAGCTGTGTCACTAACTTTGGTGATGGGGGTCAGCGCACTGCACTCTGTTCTCATTAACACAGGGGAGGCTGCATTTGATTCTCATGCTTGGTGCTTTCTGCCTAGTTGGGTACTTGCCATAGTAAAATGTGCTAAAGTAATGAAGCATGAGTCATGAAGATGAAAACCCAAAGCTTTATGAGGAAGACTTACTTTCTCTTTAATGGCTGTTAGGATGAAGAATACTTGCAGGCTTGTGGGCAGCAAGGGCTGCAAGAGCAGGAAGACTGTGTTGCTGAAGGTGAATTAGATGACCTCCAGGTTGCTCCTGAAACTGAAGAGGTATTTGTTCATCTTTTAAAAAGAGTCCAAAATTTTAGTGGGTTTTTTTCCCTCCAGATTTAAAATGACCCCCCCCCTTTTTTTTAAAGCATTAGTGAAAGTTGATACATCTCTTCTTTGAACTATGTGTGCAGTAAGAAGCCTGAGCTTTCTAGAGTCTTTGGGCAGTGAGTTCTGGTGAGCTGTGATTTCCACAAAGCTGTTTGCCCTTTACGTGTTAGATATTTTCAGTGTTTTATGTGGGCGTGGGTAGAAATCTTTTAAAAATGTGATGTATGTGTTGTGTTTGAAAGGAGTGCTGTGATCATTTTAAATTAGTTACCATTCATTAGTTATGACCATTATTGAAAAAATACTTCCAGTATCCCTGTGTTTAGGCTGTTTTAGGTTTTGAAGAAACAAAGATGTTTTAGAAGCTTGGTTCCTGTACCCAGGGAATGTTCAACTTAATACAGGGGAGGGAAGACATGTGGGCAAATCCGTGTGATGTAAATAAACTAGAAGATGTGAAGCTTGCCAGCAAAGGCTCAGATCCCTGCTTTCAGGAGTTCATGGCGGGTCCCTCTGGTTGGGAGCATGTCTTGGAGCGCTTTGAGGAAAGTGGGTGGGGAGGCACCGGTGCTTTGTGGAACAGGTAACAACCTGTGGGCTAGGTCTGAAAACAGATGTCCTTTGGATGAATAAAGGTGGTACGAGGTGTAGGGCTTAATAGATTCAGTTTTCCAACCTTAGGACTTGTCTGGTGAGCCAAGCAGGTAAACCATTAAATTGTTCTATAGCCTTAAGATTGGTTGATCGAAAAACTTGTTTTCCTTATTAATGTTTTTTTTTTCTCAGTTATTTTCCAAAGTAACCCCCCTCCCTTTTTTCAAAAGATCATGAAAAGTAATATTTTACTGGCTTAGGTCATCTACTCCAGGCCTTACACACCAGTGCTTTAGGAATGCAGCATACAGAATGCTTTATTTTCCCTTTTTCCTCAGTATGGTGCTGTGATGGAATGTGTGAGCCTGTGTGCCGTGGGCAGACCCTTCCCAGGATGTAGCCTCTCTCCTCCCTAACAGGCTGGAGCAGATTTGTCTTTTTGTGCTATCTCTTGCTATTTGAAATAATTTGACACTTAGCGAAAAGATAGAAGTATAGTATGGGGAACTCCTTACCCAGGTTCTCCAGTTATAGAAGGAACCAGGACCAAGTACCAAGACAAAGCAGAATAAGATGTAAAATTGGAGATGATTCCCCTCCTTCTGACCATTCTGTGCTGGCAGTCAGCGACACTGCACCGAGGCTCAGACGTGGGTGTGGGTTGTACTCAACACTGTCCTGGGGGTCCTGAAGGCTCTGCCTGGCCTATGACCTGGAGCAAGCCCAGAAAGAACTCATAAGAAGCCCTGAGGGGAGAGGAGGGGCGGGGCTGATAGGGCGCTGCAGACATCCTTCCCAGTGATGAAGAGTTCAGAGGGAAACCAGTAGTTTGATCCTGCTTATTAGTTTGTGGGATTTTGGATTATTTGTAATTTATTCTTCCAGTATTTTAGGTAACAGTCTCTTTACCCTTTGATAATATTATTGTGTTTATAGCACGATTTAGAATGAGAAAAGGTCTAATGGTCTCTGGAGATAGGAACTCATTTTGTGTAAAGCAGTCAAAGAAAAGCAGGTATTAGTGATGCCTGAGTGCCTTCTAGGTATGACTTGTAGATCTAGGTATTTCAGATTTGGTTTCTGAACTTTATTCATTAAATTATTAAAGCAAAAAAAATAAAAATAAATTATTAAAGCAAAAGTGGGTTATTACTTTAAAAAGTGGTAATCTTGCCTTTCAGTTTCAAGTATCTTGTGGATAGAGAGATGTCTTTGGAGGAACATTATTGATCAGATCCAGCCTTAAAGGAAATGATCTCATAGCACGTGTATTAATACGATAGATTATCTCAGACATACTTAGAAAGGATGGATCATCCGGGAAAAAGTTGGATCCCTACCTTATACCAATGTGGATCTCAGATTAAATCTTTTAGTGTAAAAAAATAACAAGACATAACTTTGTACATATGCATAGACACATACCAAACTGTCAGTGGAGTAGAAGAAAACATTTTAATAATGGTGACCAAGTGGCCTTAGGTTTACCTGCAAAACCGAAAACTCAGCAAGGGTTGGAAGTTTATTTTTCACTAATGATGAGAGATTCCATTCAGAGAGTGTTTCAGATCTGGTATAGGCCTCACCAGGTATTCACGTACCCAGGCTGCTTCTAGGCGTGCATGGTAAGTTCTAGCGTTGCCGTTCTTAGCATGGTCCACATCCAAACAGTGGATTACAGTGGGATGGAAGGGGACCATGCCACACTTTGAAGATGCGTCGTGGAGTTCTCATATGGCACTCTGCAAACATCTCATGAGTTATGCATTGGTCACATGGCTGTAACCCACAGTAGGGGAAACTGATGAAGATAGTGTGAGGTAACAATGTATTCAGCCAAAATTGGGGGTTTAATTATTAAGGACATGAGAGAAAGTGAGGAAAAACGAGCACCAAGTTGTCTTGGTTATTACCATTGTACTACTCTTGGTAATAAGGCCTTTTTATGATGTTAAGGAAAATAATGATTTGATCATGTATAAATACCCCCAGAACACATAAAGGAGTTACAACAAATGACAAATTTGGGGAAATATTTACATGTGAGCCTAAGAATTAATATATTTAGCAAAATTAGCATAATCAGTATGTGAGAGTTAATATATTCAGTATATACAGATGAGCACTCCTATAGAAAGAAGGGTAAGTATTATGAGAAAGTAATCCAACAATAAGATAATCAAATGACCATTAAGCATATAAAATACAGGAACACCTGTGTGGCTCAGTGGTTGAGGGTCTGTCTTTGGCTCATGGTGTGATCCGGGGGTGCTGGGTTCAAGTCCCACATTGGGCTTTCCACAGGGAGCCTGCTTCTCCCTCTGCCTGTGTCTCTGCCCTCTCTCTGCGTCTCTTATGAATAAATAAATAAAATCTTTTTTTTTTTTTAAAAAAAAACATATAAAATACATTCAATAAGGGACTGCTGGGTGGCTCAGTGGTTGAGCATCTGCCCTTGGCTCAGGGCATAATCCTGGAGTCTGGGATCAAGTCCCACATTGGGCTCCTTGCAGGGAGCCTGCTTCTCCCTCTGCCTCTGTCTGTCTTTTTCTCTGTCTCTCATGAATAAATAAAAATCTTTAAAATATATATATTCAATAAAATAGAACAAAATTGATCATTTTAACCTTTTTTAATACTGGCAAAAATCAAGATCATTGGTCAGATGTGGTCTCATTCTATTGGAGGATCATTTTAGAAATGTTAACTGCCCAGAGACAGTTTTCCATGGGTCTCTCATGTCTGCATGTTTTGTGAGCAAAGCATGGACTGCCCCTTTGTTCTCTGCTATCTTTTCAAGGATGTTTGTATAGCACACGGCCTTGAAAGATGGAGTATCTTCCTGGAGGTCTCTAAACTCACACCTCTCCTGTAGCACAGCCCCCTGCATTCACACAGCACACTGGGAATCAGCTCAGGGAGTTGGCCCCCAAATGCCACTGCTCTGGGTCAGAGTAATACATTGTCCTCACCTGTGACCTGGGTCTATTGGCTTCTCACACACCCTGTGAAACTGTGGCTAGCTACCTCATTGTCTGGCTAGAAGGGGAAGATTACACACCCTACATTCTTCTTGATGGCATCAAAAGCTTTAAAGTCCTTTGACTCAGTAATTCCACCCTCCGGAAGTCATCCAAAAGAGTTCATCAAAGATTTGTTCAAAGATAGGTGCTCCAGTTGTTTGCAGCCTTTAGATTAAATGGAACCAATGTAGATTTTTCTAGAGGGTCAACTGATGGCCAAACTTCATAGGGAGCCATAGGTTACCCGAAGATGCCCTAGCTCTCTGGTGGGCACGTAAAGTGAAAAGAGGAAGATAGTGGAGTTCCCCGCTAAGGTCCCTGTAACTTTGCACATCTAAATGTGTATGTGAGATTCTCAACATCTGTATGGATAAAGACAAAAACGGTGATAGTGATTACCTCTAGATGGTATCCCAAATATTTTAAAATATTTTTGCTATGACTAGAATAACTTTCATAAACGAGGAAACAAAAGATGGTTAAAATTTTGACCCTGGAATTTGTCAACAGATTGCAATTGTTAACTCCTGTGATTTCTAGTTGCTGTTAAGTCTCACAGGAAACATCCTAAGGGTTGTTTTCAGTACAAATCTTTTTATAGAGCAGAAAGTAAACTCTTCTCCAGATTGACTAGTTTCTCTTTTTTTATGCCATCTGTGAGGAAGTATAGTATTTGCTTTTTTCTTCTAAGCTGTATGTCCCATAATTTAATTTTAAATTGAGTATTTGAAAGTATTTTTAAAAAGTCACTCATATGTTTACTTTCTTATCCGTCTGTCTCTGAGCGTGGTTTAAGTTTGCCTTAAGTTGCTTAATATATCTTCCAAGTATTTTTAATGCATTTGTATTTTGTATATTTAATGTATTTGTATTTGTGGCCTGTTTTTAAATGTATTTGCTTTCTTATCTTTCTGTCCTTTGTTGCTTTGTTTGCCTTTGCCTTGTTTATGTTGCTGGTTTTGTATTGACTGGAAATTCTTTGTGATGTACTTTGCCCTCAGGACTTTTGATCCTCCTTCTTAGGGGCGGTCTTGCCACTAGCAACAAATATTTTGGGCTTGTTATCTTTCTTGTAGAGGAATCACTGAATATCAGTCTATAATACCGTTATTGAGAATTTGTATGCATGGTATTATTTTAGGTATTGAAAAATAGGTGTTATGTGGTATTTTAATTTTAGTACCTTTTGGTAGGTTTTGCTTTTGGAGAGCTGCTATTCCGTCTTTTTTAGAAGTCAAAATAGAGTCCTCAAGGAGGAGTAACAGTTTTAATCTGCCACAGTGCCTGTGTTTTAGTGTCTTTCTAGCCTTTTCATCCATTAAGTGTCTGCAG